AAAAAGATGCATGTCATATAAGCGCCTGATCTTTTTTTTCTTGAATATTATAATATTGTGCCTAATAATGTAATCTTGCTGCATCAGTTAGTTTCTATTGAAATTTATGGTATTTATTACTGATTCCTTAGCACTAATGTTGTAATTCGAGTCCTTAAAAGATATGCCCGGTTTCATTTTTAATATCTTTTTGTGAAATGTGGCAAAGAATTTTTTTTTACTTAAAAGTTATGCGTATATTTACATGTCTTATATAATGCATACCTTCAAAGATTGTTGCCTACATTTGAGCGCGGAACTGATAAACACAAGAATATCACAAAAATCTAAAAATGCTTCGGATATAGCTTCAATCAACAAGCAAAAATAGCAAACAAAAAAATCGAAATTTCGGGGCTTTATAAACGGGATCCCGAAATGTTTGTCAAAGCAAAACTAATAATGTTTTAATTTCCGAGCAAAAGCAATACATTTCAATAAAAACTCCAAAATTTCGAAACTTAGTTAACAAAATCCCGAAATGTTTGTGATAAAGTTTTGGTATCGGGATTGTTTGTCCGTTTTTAAACGAAATATTTAAATTCATAAGAACATTTGCTAAACTATTTGTTTTTTTATTATTATTTAAAAGTCCTTTACACGCCTAATATAATACTTACCTTCAAAGAGGGTTTTCAGAGCTCAACCGGATCGGGATCCCGAAATGTTTGTTAAAGAAAACCTAATAATGTTTTAATTTCTGAGCAAAAAAAGTAGATTTCAATAAAAATCCCGCAATTTTGATATATTTTTTGAATCGGGATTGTGCGTTTATTTTTAAACTAGATATTTAAAATTCATGAGTATATTTCAAATACTTTGTATTCTTTTGTGATATTTTTGGAGCTAAACAAAACGAGAGTAAATATAATAATAAAAAATAATAAAAAAAATAAAATAAAGTCCAAAATTTTAGAACTTTACAAACGGGATTATGAAATCGGAATTCGTTGTTTCATTTTCATCAATATATTTATGAACATATTCCATTAATTCACGAAGGAAAATGTAATATTAGAATAATTTCCTTCGTGGAACCTTGCCTACTTTTGAGCGCGTCTCTACTAGAAATATCTGCTAGCATGCAGTCTTTAAAATGATTCGAAAATAACTTCAAACTATGAGCAAAATGAACAATAAATCGAAAAAAAAGGACCTCGAAATTTCGGCTCTTAATAAATGGGATTCCGAAATATTTGTGATATAGTATTCTATGTATTTTCGGGTTTGGGATTCGATACTTTTCACTTTATTTAATGTTTATGACTAGATTTCATATCAGTTCTAATATTATAAATTCCTTCGTTGATCATTGCCTACTTTTCAGCGCGGCGCTGACTAAACTGAGATCAGTTTAATAATTTTTAATAAATAACTTTCCTTTACGAGCAACAAAAAAAAAAATTTAAGTGTCGAAAAACTCGAAATTCGAGAAAAAAAACAAAAATAAAAAACACGAAATTTCGGGATTTAACAAACGTGATGATATACATATTTTCGAAATAGAGATACAGCGTTGTTTACTTTTCATCAAAACATTTTTTTCAAATGTATGAGTATCTTCCCTTATAGTACATATGTCCAATATTATGCATTTCTTTGGGGATCATTGCCTATTTTTGAGCGCGGTGCTAGCACAACAAAAAAAGGTATTATCAAGCAAATCTATTAATTACTAGATAATAACTTCAAACTGGATCGGAATTCGGGGTAATATATATTTCCACACCCTCTTCATGTATTCTAAATATCGGGATCCCGAAAATGTTCAGGATTGCTCGGTGCTTTGTAAAGCATTTGTTTGGAGAAACATTAGTATTATTTTTATAAATTATTATGTATAAAATTCTATATAAAGTCCTTTAGGGAATAAATCAATGGATTTTATGAGAGAAAGAAGACTACAATTAGGAACCAGAAAAACCTTACGAGTTTAATCTTTTATCAACACCGGTAAAACTAATGAGGTGGCCCATAAAAATCCAAAGAACAAATGTTATTTCAAACTGTTTATAGTTCCAAGAAGAGAAAAACCTTCTGAAGAGACAGTAATGCGCCAATTTTGCCTAGAGAACAGAATGTCAAGCTGCGTCTTGGTCTTCTTCTTATTTACACATGGGTTGGGTAAGGGTTTCTCATATTTCCCTGGTGCGCGGCGAGGCCACAAGAGTAGGAATGGGGAACAGCCGTACGACTATAACTGCTTACCCAGAAGCATGACTACACCCCACTATATCCCTTGTCTTGTTATTGAATTAAAATTCATAACAAATTTGCAGACGCCTTCCGGACCTGTCGCTCTTCTTAAAGCTGAAATTATAAACGCACAATATTTGCATATTTTTTTTTAATTGATTGCCTTCCCTGTCTTTTACCCTTAATGATTGATTTCTGACACTGTCGCAAAATTTTCGCAAACATCAATCAATAAACTTGTTTTAAAGATTGTTTTCGGCACGTGCGCCTTTTCAGGTGCGGCGAAGCTCAGCTGCGGAAAATTTTGCAATGAAAAATTGCAAATACAAAATTTAATTGAACAAAGATTGGAGAAACTTGAAAGCCAATAATTTAGTTAAATGAAAAAAATGTTAAAGCAAAGCGCTCATCTGGTTGAATTTGTCATTAATCATGCCGCTGTACTAAGGAAATATTGTAAAGGTCTCAAATATTGGTCACATCTCTTCTCGATAAGTTTGGTAACAAAGCCAGGTCGGTCGATGTAATCGTGTTCTAAAGTAATATGGAGGAGGTAAAACGGCACAAACAAATTGATTGCGTTACCTTCACATATTTGTAATTGGCTCTCAGATATGAGCTTGGGGAGTATCTAATTATATATGACGGTTTCGAGGCTACATTCTGCTTACTAAGCTGACCTGGTCTTTTCTATGTATCTACAGAGCTTTTCTTCGTATCATTGTTTGTTAGAGATAGATGTATAAAGATAATTGAAACAAGTAAGGAAGGGCTAAGTTTGGGTGTCACCGAACACCGACGCCACGCCCATTTTCAATTTTTAAAAAAGCCTGGATGCAGCTTGCTTCTGACATTTCTTCCGTAAAATTTTATGTTTCTGACTTTTTTTGTTAGTCGGTTAACGCACTTTTAGTGATTTTCAACATAACCTTTGTATGGGAGATGGGCGTGGTTATTATCCGATTTCTTCCATTTTTGAACTGTATATGGAAATGCCTAAAAGAAACGACTGTATACAGTTTGGTTGATATAGCTATAGTAACTTTCGAGATATGTACAAAAGAGTTAGTAGGGGGCGGGGCCAAGCCCACTTTTCCAGAAAAATTACGTCCAAATATGCCCCTTCCTAATGCGATCCTTTGTGCCAAGTTTCATTTTAATATCTTTATTTATGGCTTAGTTATGACACTTTATCGGTTTCCGCCATTTTGTGGGCGTGGCAGTGGGCCGTTTTTGCCCATCTTCGAACTTAACCTTCTTATGGAGCCAAGAAATACGTTTACCAAGTTTCATCATGATATCTCAATTTTTACTCAAGTTACAGCTTGCACGGGCAGACGGACTTTGGTATATATAACCCTATATCTGACTCTTTTAGTTTTAGGACTTACAAGCAACCGTTATGTGAACAAAACTCTTTAGCAACTTTGTTGCGAGAGTATAAAAATTTACTTACTTTCAGGCTATAATGATATATAAAGTACATACTATATATTGCTCACAGTCTTCAATTTCCAAATTTAAATTATTCTTTCTTTAGATCCTACTTCTGCTTTGGCACTACAACCGTGTATCGGTATGGTTTGGCCGAGTACATAAAGCTTCGCCAGTTGTTTCTTTCCTTTGCGAGATCACGCTAGTTGCACATCCTACACACTTCGGTCCTTCCATTAGATGCCTAGTCGCCTTTGATTCCGTTGCCTCCAGTAATAATGTCGAATGTGCGTTTCACTTTATTTGTGTCGACGTAGAGCTCATGAGTTCGTGATTACTTTTTTTTCGATACTCATCGACTCCAAAGGCGTTGCTGCAACTGCCCGAGAAAAACATTGGTTTAAAAGCTAAACATCACAGTTAAGTTTGACAGCTGTCAGAAATACAACCCAGCATTCGCTCTATGGGCTCTTGAAAAGTTTCAAGCAGATCCGACGTTTTCGAGCCAAATTTTGTTCAGTGTTGAGGCCCATTTTTGGCACGATTGATATGGAAACAATCAAAATTGCCTCATATGGGAGGAAGAGCAATCTGAAGAGATTTAAGAGCTGTCATTCATCCAACGGTTTGTTGTGGTTTGTGAGCTGGTGGTTTTGTAGAATTGCTCTTTTTTCTTCAAAACTTATGCCGGTGAGAACGCGCCAAGATAACCGATTATTTGATGCTTGAATTTATAGCTTGTGATCTTGGCGACATTTGGCTTCATCAAGACAGCGCTACTTCCCACACTTCGCATCAATCAATGGATTTATTGAAAGAACACATTTGTAAGCAGATAATTTCATGTTTTGGGTTGGTCGATAGACTTTTCCCTCTGGCGATATGTAGAGTCTAAAGTCTTTGCTGGCAATCCCGCTTCGATTCAGGTCTTGGAGCAAAACATCACGCGTGTCATTCGCAAGTTACCAGTCGAAATACTTGCTAGAGTCATTGGAATCAACGGATGAACCATTTGAGACGTAGAAAGAAATAATCTTCAAAAAATAATTTCAAAAGACTGTTCTATCGAATGATAATAAACATTTCTGATTAAGTTTGAAGTTTCTGTGTTTTCTGTTAAAAAAGTAGGAATCTCGAAAGGTACCTTTAGTAAATATATGTCTAAATGTAAAAAAAAGTATACATCTTTATTTAGTGGTTTTTTTCAACTTCTCTTCCACGAAAACAATTTGTATACCTAAGTATTTCTTAATTTCCTAAAAGTTCTCAACATTTTTTTCACGAAAAAAATAAAAATAAGTAAATGTATTTATCTCATTTTTTAATTTCAGGCAACCATTTTTCGGCTGATTAACTACAACGATTTTTCAGAATAGTAACAAAAAACGGCAATTAAGCAATTGAGCGCGAAAAGAGTGCCAAAAAAGTGCGGTGAGTACAAAAAAAATTAATCATTGCCACAAATTGTAGAGTGATTAAACTTTTTGTATTTTTTTTATATAAAAACAGACATGTATATTTTTATTTTTTGACTTTTGAACATGAAAGGGTTGCTCTCTGCATAAGTATCTATTTTTTCTGATTCTTTTACCTCGACAAATGTTATGCATTTACATGCGCTTCATTACATATTCACGACGTGTCCGCTGTCTGTCGGTCCGTTTTGCGAATTTCATTTGAGGACATCATTTTTTAAAATGTTAACTGTCACACCGTTAAGGAGATATTAGAAAAACAAGATAAATGATTTTTTAACAAGTCATGGGGAGGGTGACAATTGAGTGGAAGTGTGCTTAGACGCTAGCGGGGAAAAAAAACTTAAAAAAATAAAATTAAAAGAAAAAAGAATAATTCTAAAAAACTAGCAGCAATACAAGAAAATAAAAAACAAATTCTAAAACCGAAAGGATAAAGGTTGACACTTATATTTAACAGCGTATTAACCAAATGAGCGCCGAACGTGCGTGACAAAAGGTAGTAACACGGTGGCAGGCCTTTTCCTGTCATTTATATGTAAAGTTAGATGTGTAAAGTCGTGTAAAGAGAAATCCATTATTTTTACACTGCATTGAAGATTTCATTAGCATACTTAGAATTTTGTAGCGGAGACATCTGCCGAGTTGACAGTGCTTGGCCGGATAAAAATCCGGGTCCGTTCCGATTACGTAGACCGAACTGTATTACGAACGGTTCGAATGATCCCTCATTCGACAATAGATTTTTACAAGCTTCTTTTGAGATCAATTTTCCACCATCAAAATCATTCGTCATAGACGGAAACAGGTAGTAATCACTTCGTGTCAGATGCGGACCATAAGGTGGATGCATATAAACTTCCCAAACAAGCTCCTGAAGCTTCTGGCGACCATTATCGATGTGTGTGAGCTAGCATTGACCTGACGGAGCACGATGTCTCTTCTTTTAGTCTGAGGTGGTCGTTTCGGGAACTGCTTCCTTTAGACGATCTAATACTGCTTCCTTTATCTCAATCAATCTAATATTACGTGTCTAAATGAAAAGTTTGGTCTCAAGTAAGACAATACCACTGTCACCAAATTATATTAACATATCTTCCACGATTTGTATTTACAAAAGAACACTGTATTATAGGAGAAATACATCTTCTGATACCCTGGCTCCCTTTCTCGTAAAGAAAATATAAGGACCTTAAGATAAAAATGGGATTTCATAATGACTTACAGTTATGAAGTGCAAAGTTGTTGATAATAACGCCAAGTTCGCCGTGGTTCGTATTACATACGTTTTTTAAAGTACCTAACCTAAGCTAATAGGATCCAGCTGAAAACGAGAGCACCGAACTCATCGTTGGTCCTATCACATTTTTTTAAAATACTTTACCTAACGTAGCAGGGTTATAACTGACTTCGAGAGAATAAACAGAATTGCACTGTTAAAGATATGTCTTTTGTGAAGTCAAGAAACAGATTTGTTTGGATATTGGGAGTCAACTAAGTTGGAAGGATGCTTACATTTCGTCTTTTTTAAAACATCTTCTAAAACTGACATTTAGTAGGATTTACTAACTGAGTGGGCCACAATTGGGTAATCTCTAGTTAAACTCATACAACGGGGGAAAGAGGAACTGTTTTGAAGTCGCAAGACTCACTGGACCTCCTGCGAGGTAACAATGCTCGGCAAAGAGTGCATCTCCGATTAGCTTCCATCCTGCTGATAGTCGATGTCATTAATAGTCAGACTAAGTATTTGTTCCTTCAAAAAATCCATTCAGAAGTGGATTGATTTTTCTTCTTCTTCTTTATTGGCGTAGACACTGCTTACGCGGTTATAGCCGACTTTACAACACCGCGGCAGTCGTTTCTTCTCTTCAAAATTTGGCGCCAACTCGAGATACCAATTGCAGCCAGGTCTTTCTGACCTTTCCAACGGAGTGGAAGTCTTCCTCCTTTTTCCCCGACGGGTACTGCGTCGAAAACTCTCAGAAGTAGTGTGTTTTCGTCCATTGGATCGACATGTTCTGGGCACCGTAGTCAGCCAGCGTAGCCATTCGCTGAACTATGTCAATGCCGTCGTATATCTCGTACAGCTCATCGCTTCATCGTAGTCTGCAGTATTCGCCTTTACACTCATATACGCGCATAAGATCATAAAATTTCCGCAAAACCTTTCCGTCGAAAACTCGAAACGCCGACTCATAAGATGTTGTCATCGGCCAGGCCTCCGCACCATGTATCTGGACGGGGATGCTGAGTGACTATAAGAGTTTGGTCTTTGTTTCGAGAGAAAATTAACTTTCGAGAGAGGAATTTACTTCTCAATTGCCTCCTCAGTCCGAAGTAGCATATGTTGGCAACAATTATTTTGCGTTGGATTTCATGGCTGAAGTAGTTGTTAATGCTATTTCTAAGATTGATGGAATTATATATGACTTCGAAGTTATTACTGTCAACAGGAACGTGGGAGCCTATCGCCAATGCGACGACTATTTGTTTGAGGACAGAAGATATTTCGTTTTGCCCTCGTTCACAACCAGACTGATTTGCCTCGCTTCCTTATCCAGTCTGGAGAATGCAGAATTAACGGCTCGATTGTTGAGGCCAATTATAACAATATCATCTGCATACCCCAGCAGCTGTATAATCTTATAGAAGATTGCAGCTTCTCTTTTCAGATATACAGCTCTGTAGATAGAAGAAGTTGCATTATAGGGCCTCACCTCGCCTCAAATCTCGTTTGGTATTGAACGGCGCGGAGAGGTCCTTTTCGATCCTAACGGAGCTTTTGGTATTGCTCAACGTCCGTTTATACAGCCGTATTAGTTTTGAGGGGATACTAAATTAGCGGCATAAATGCAGCTAATCTTCGCGTTCAGAAAACTTTCTTCACTCGCGTGAACTTCTATACAAGGCTCCATTCTCCTTGATCTTATTCCTTCACTTTCCACAAAATCAAGCACCAATGAATACAAGTATATCGGGATAGTCGACAAAAATAGTGCCGGAATGCAGTCTAAAAATTGTCATAATCGGATCATAGCTGTGTATGTTCCCAGGTACCGAATATGCGGACACTAACGTATATAGCTGACTTTTCACCGAAAATATCGGTCAGTACGATAGCATGTTTACATATTGGAAATGGGTTGAATCGTGTCAATACTTCGCCCCCATATAGCTAATATAATGAGATTTTCGATATTCTGATTGACTTTATACTTCACATATCCGTTTATATTCGGCATACATATTCCCGAATATACTTGAGTAATATTAAAAGTTAAAGCAAACCTTCCAGATAATCTCTTAGTCCAAGCATAGCCGAAATAGTGACTTCTAACATTATTTATTTTGGTTATTCTACATTACACTAATTTATTTTATATGTTTAGTTCTATTCATCAATCGCAACTCGTTTTTTAACCGAAATACAATCATTAACTTTTGTTGTTGCTACAATTTATTTTATATTCAGCGATCATAACAATTCATTGTCACAATTTATACCCGACCACGAGCCTTTAAACAAACATAGAGGCATGTATATCCTTAAAGTAAACTCCAGCGGGTATCATGTCGTTCGTTTACGAGTCGTTGACGAAGTATTAAGTATATGAATGCATTCAATTGGAAAACCACTATTTGGACATATGTTGGCATTGTTTACGCTGCTGGCGTTTAAATACCGCACAAGCAGCGGTCACAGGGTGACTTGCACTACATCTCCACACAAACCAACATAGTTAACACACATACTCAGCCTTAAATGCCTAATATTTTACTTATGAAAACCTTTCGCCTTTCCTTCCTGCTTTTATATGCATATAAAAGTATTTATTGTTGCTCTTGTTGTTGTTGTGAGCGTTAATAAATCGCTGTGTGTTGTAGAAAATTGAGTGAACAATGTTGTACCTTCCGTCGTAGTAGTTGTTGTGACAGATGGTAGGTGACTGCGTGCTGCATTAATGATTAGGCGACTTTTTGGTTTTTATACATCGTTATTTATTTGCTTTTGGGCCGGAAAAGTTGACTATTTGATTTTCATTCATTCCATTTGGCTGAATTAATTTGTAAAAGTATGGTCGAAGATTGCTTCGAAGTGATTGTGTTGTTGTATAGTATACATTAATACTTAAATTTGGTATCCGTAACGGTAAAAAGCCACTTAGTTCATCATCAGACTCATAGTCTGTCAGTGAGTTGTGATAAGAATTTGTCAGACCTTACTTTCAAAGAGCTGAAGAAGCCCTACAACTTGCGGCTCAGGCGCTAAAAAGAAGTCGTTTAATATTTCGAGTTCCAGTTATTGAAGAGTTCACACTTGGAGTATTTCAAAGAAATGAGGTCAGAATTTCTCCGAGATATTACACTTATTACGAATAGGTTAGGTTAAGTTCGATGGATGATCCTCAAGATGAGGAATTCCTATTTACGATACTATAAATAGATATAATATTTTAAAGCCAATATATCTATTCGTATCAGCTATGAGGGATATCTGAAGGTATAAGCTGCCAAGTTTGTAAGCCCCTTTTTCTTCGAAACAGCCCAATGGGCCTGTCAATGATGGTAGCCCAGCACTGGCTAAGCTCTCACGAAACTCAGTTATCCAGCAGTAGAATGGACGAAGATATTGTAACACATTCTCGTTCCTATTGTGGTTATAGCGGAGGTTGAGATGGCTTTCCTTGTCAGCGTGTCATCTTTGTAGTTGCCTGCGATTCCACTGTGGATTAATACTCATAGTAATCTGTTCTAGGCGTTCCATAACCTGTCTTCAACAAACGATTGGTGAGCTCAAGTCTTCTATTGTCACTCTACTATCATAGCCATTTCTCTGAGGTTGGTCTCAGAGCAGTAAATCTGCCATTACATTCGTGACAACAACCTCACAATGACTATCTTGTAGAAATTTGAAACTACTTTTATATTTCAAGACAGATTTACGACAGTTCA